ACAAAAATGATGGTTCATTTCTTTTGAAACCCTTACCAAATTGCATGGCCGAGATGCTCTTCTCGCCCATCTTCCCGGCTTGTATCGTAATGATGCACTGTTTACTACCCATAATCTGTCTTAGTCCCTCGAAGAAATTCCAATCCCAAAATTAGCTTGAAATCATCCATCTGAACTGCAGACAAGTATGTCCTTCCCTTGAAAGGATTTGCTTTGATTGACATCGATTTCGTTACTCCAACTATTGGTTGAGCAGCAAAGTTGATTGCTTTGACCTTTCCACTACCTTTCTCCAAAACAAGTCCGAGTCGCTCCACTTCGGTACTTGCGAGGTAGTTGTGGGTAGCACCCGTATCCACCATGGCCTTGATTATTTTTACATTGATCTTCACATCAATGTACATTAGGCCTTTGGCTCGGCAAATGCGAGCCTTTGATTCTTTCCTCTTTACCTCTTTCGAGGAAACTCCATTCTTTTTAGTAGCTCGGTACGATGGTGTATTTCACCGATGTGAGAATGCACCAACTACATCGTCATCCTCTTCGGAGTCTGTCTCACCGTGATAGCTAGCTTGTGGGACATCTTGCTTTGATTTCATGCCACCACTCGCTAGTTGACAGTATGCTTTCACCATCCATTTCTAAGGACACTCCGCCACCCAATGAGGTCTTTCACATAAAAAGCACATCAACTTAGGAGTGGCATCAAATTTGCCCTCCGTTTCTTTTCCTTTGTTCTAGTTGTTACTACTGCTGCTGTTATAGTTTCCTGAACGGCTGTTTTGGTAGTTTCCCTGCGAGTTAGTATGACGAGAGCCTTGATAGGCTCCTTCCTTGTTCTGAGAGTAACGCTCTCCCCATTTGAGTTCGAGCTGGGTCTGTAAGGTCTGTTTCGACCTCCAATATCTTGACTATTCTCCGAAGGTCGATCTTTTCTTAACTCGGTCTGATAGCCACTTTAGCATTCGGTGGCTCCCTTGGCCACGCTCAAATCAGTTACCTTCTGCATCTGAAATTTCGTGCATGTCCACTGTTTCAACCCTTCTATAAAGGTAAATAGCTTGTCCTTTTCCGACATATTCAGCATATGCCCTGAAAAGGCTTTCACATACTCCCTGATAGAGCTTGTATGTTTTAGTTCTCGTAGTGCATGTCACGCCTGATATTCTACATTCTCTAGGAAAAACTGAGATCTGATCGCTTCCTTGAGGAGATCCCAAGAATCTATTCGGACCCTATTGGCCTAAATGTCAGCATACTTTGTTCGTCACCATAGTTTTGCATCTCCACCAAGATAGATGGTAGTTGTTGTCACCTTTCTTGCTTCATCTTCGATCTAAGTTGCAAGAAAATATTGTTCCATATCAAACAATAGTTCTCGAATTTTTTGCATTGCGTGCCCCTCCGTAGGTACATGGTTCCGGAATTCTGAGCTTAGGAACATACTCTCGTGCGGGGGGCTTACCCCATTGCCAACCGCACATTGAAGAACTGGTAGTTGAGCTCTCAGCATTTCCATTTTCTTCTGCAGATCAAGCAGGATAGCAATAGCTTCATTCATTGCTGTGCAAGCCATTCAGCTTTCATCGAGCTGGATGTATAATTCCCGAATTTTTGCCTCGCCACCTTGACATTTTCCTAGAGGTTATCCATGGCATAGCCTAACCTAGTAGTTATCATCTCAAGCACATCCACACACTGTTTTGTATTCCTCTTCTGAGGATCTACCACCTCCGTGGTGTTCGATTCAATTGTATCCATAGCTTTTTTATCGAGGGTCTTGAGCCGCAGCTCTGATACAAACTTTCACGAGGTGACTTTTTTCTTGACAAAGAAAGGGACACTGTGCGGCAGTAATCTACCCTGCTAGACTACCTTCCGCCTTCTTTCGATCTTTTCGGGACGAAAGAATATTTTATCACAATTTATAGAAAGCTTGCAACATGAAATTGAAATGTATTGAATGTAAATTGATCATTGATTGCTTGAAAGCTAGAAATTACAATTGATGAAAGCAGAAAATTACAATTGTTGGTACAGGGGGCGAACACCAGTACTGAAAGATTTTTGAATGACTAATACCGCATATAATAGAGAT